CCGGGGCTGTTCCTACACCGTACACACACTCAATACTCCTCACTGTTGAACATAATATTCAACGCTTTAACTCTTGGCCTTAACGCCAAACCGATCTTTCAGTGGTAACTTGACTGTGTTAAAATCCCACTTTGAAGACTGCCCTTGTATGTTAAGAATACACGGCTCTGACAATATGATGTACTGTGACGGGGCGGTCTGGGTGTATTCAGTATTGTTGGGGAGGTTTTGTCAGGTTCGATTTGAATAGCGGAGTAACCGAACAAAAAGGGTACAAGTCCACACCAGCTTATGTAGCTTTTCGGCTTCTTAACACTGGAATAGCCTACTGTGTGGTGTGTCACATGAATCTGTTTCAAAGTTTCAAAAACAACAAAATACTGCAGCTCGAATTGTGTGTCTTGCTCCAAAGTTTGCACATATACAGCCACTTCTACGATCCCTACACTGGCTGCCCATCTCAGCTAGAATTGAGTTTAAAGTTCTTGAACTCGCATACCAGTGCCTTAACGGTATCGCGCCATCCTATTTGTGTGAACTTGTAAGCCAGTATAATCCAACCAGAACTCTCAGATCCTAGTCCCAAATTCTGTTCACAGTGCCCAGATACAGACTAAAACGATTTGGTTTCAGATCATTTGCCTACCAATCAGCTGTTCTATGGAATTCTCTGCCTGAAGATCTCAAAACAGCCCCAAGCCTGCACTCCTTCAAAACTCTCCTCGAAACGTTTTTATTTAAGAAGTACTTTGTCTAGACTCTCGCCCAAATAACTTTACTTGTAGCGCCTAGAGCATACCAGCTGGCGTGGAGATTGGCGCGTTACAAATTCACTCATTATTATTATTATTATTAATACAAGGGACGGCAGTGGCGCGATATGGTGAGAGCGGCTCTCTTAACCAGTGAGTGAGTGAGGTTTTACGCTGCTTGTAGCAATATTCCCGTAATATCGCGACGGGGATACCAGAAATGGGCTTTACACATTGTACCCATGTGGGGAACTGAACCCGGGTCTTCGGCGTGACGAACCACTAAGTTACCCCACCGCCCCAATCTTAAACGGGTTCGTATGTTACCTACAAGATGACGTCAAATGACGTATATGCTCATTGTTGGCAGATTAATTAACAGGCAGCTCGTATATTGATGAAGGAGTGAGATGTTGTGCAGCGGACATGGCGAAGGTAAACTGCAGTAGCCCATGGTGTATGATCGTCACAGGCATCATCGCGAGTTGCCACATAAACTAGCAATAACTTTTATCATCCCAAACTGTGTTCCGCTGGGTGTCGTTGTACAAAGCAATCTTAGCGCTAAGGTGACCGTAACACCCATACCTTAACATGGACTTAAGGTAACCTTAGCGCTAAGGTGACCATAACTCCCATACCTTAACATGGACTTAAGGTAACCTTAGCGCTAAGGTGACCATAACTCCCATACCTTAACATAGACTTAAGGTAACCTTAGCGCTAAGGTGACCATAACTCCCATACCTTAACATAGACTTAAGGTAACCTTAGCGCTAAGGTGACCATAACTCCCATACCTTAACATAGACTTAAGGTAACCTTAGCGCTAAGGTGACCATAACTCCCATACCTTAACATAGACTTAGGGTAGTCTTAGCGCTAAGGTGACCGTAACTCCCATACCTTAACATAGACTTAAGGTAGTCTTAGCGCTAAGGTTGTTTTGTACTACAGCACCCTGGCCCCGATTTCTCAAAACAAACTTAAGTCTGAGTTTTGACTTAAGTTCAAGTTTTTACTCAAATTTGAGAAAATGCAGGAAAATGCATTCCACAGAATGAACTGAAATCGGTATTAAACTCAAACTATAGAAGATAATTTGAGTTTGGTGGGTAGATTACTTAAGTTGTTTGGGCTTTTATATTTAAAAAATGCAGTTGAGTTAAAAATTCAGCTGTTCCAAATTGTGAACTCAGTTTGAGATTTGAGTAAAAACTTAAGTTTGTTTCGAGAAATGGGGGCCTGGAGATATTGCTTGTGTAAGATCAAACGATACCTCCTAGATTGTGTACAATGTCCTGACGTCATCAATTACATGACTCACACTGCTATGACGTCAAAAACGTGATGACGTCACAATGATATGACACCGAAGCACTGCATGTCTAACGGCAGTATCGTATTCACATATGTAGATTTTTTATTAAAAATTCTAAGATGCCTAGCTGTTAGAACAATCGAAAAAAAAATACATTATGAGACAATAAAGGTATAGTTTTTTGATGACGTAACAATTGAATGACGTTAACCCGTCACTGCGCCATTCTAGTGTGCCCCCTCGTAATCGAATTATTTTACATTACGTCACAACGTAAGCGACGTCACGATGCATGTCAGTTGTCATCGCCTCGTACGGCCTCCTACAGTAAACTACTCCGTTGCATCCCGTTTCTTGGTTTGCAGTTGCTTCACGCAGCTAACACCACTGGTGGAAACATTACGTTTATGTTTTACGACGGTTAAAATGTGTCAATTCGACTCACAAGTTTTCAGCGACACGGTAACGTTCGCAATGTTTGCGTTTCCACAATGCAATTGTGGAATGTCGCTTGACTACTCCGCTTCATCTGGATGTACTGATCTAAACTTACGTTGGTAGAAGAAATGCGACGTTGATATTGCCCCATATGGTTTACGTTAATGACAGATGTAATTAAAATAATTCAGAGAAGATATTTAATCCGAACGTAAACCGTCATCAAACTGTTATCATTTGTTTTTTCTGGTAACGTTCGCCTTAACGTAGGGGGGCAGACACATCAATAGAACAGCGCACCAGTTAGCCCTGTGCGAGGATTCTTAATTTAGGTCACCGACACCGTCATTTGTTTTCTGCCTTAAATTAATCGTAATTATCCTTAGAAAGTATTAAATTTAGCATCTTAGAAAAGATGTAAAGTTCGCTTCTACCCCAATGTGTTTTGTAATAAAGTATAGTTTTGCCCTGAACTATTATAACATCAAAGCACTCGGACTACCGTCCTCGTGCTTTAATTATAATAGTTCAGGGCAAAACTATACTTTATTACAAAACACATTGGGGTAGAGCGAACTTTATTTCTTAACTATTCTAAGATGCCTAGCGGTTAGAACAATCGAAAAAAAAATACATTATCAGACAATAAAGGTATAGTTTTTTGATGACGTAACAATTGAATGACGTTAACCCGTCACTGCGCCATTCTAGTGTGCCCCCTCGTAATCGAACCATTTTACATTACGTCACAATGTAAGCGACGTCACGATGCATATCAGTTGTGATCGCCTCGTACGGCCTCCTACAGTAAACTACACCGTTGGATCCAGTTTCTTGGTTTGCTGTTGTTTCTCGCAGCTAACATCACTGGTGCAAACATTACGTTTATGTTTTACGACGGTTAAAATGTGTCATTTCGACTCACAAGTTTTCAGCGACACGGTAACGTTCGTAATGTTTACATTCCCACAATGCAATTGTGGAATGTCACTTGACTACTCAACTTCCTCTGGATGTACTGATCTAAACTTACGTTGGTAGTAGAAATGCAACGTTCATATTGCCCCATATGGTTTACGTTAATGACAGATGCAATTAAAATAATTCAGAGAAGATATTTAATCCGAACGTAAACCGTCATCAAACTGTTATCATTTGTTTTTTTCTGGTAACGTTCGTCTTAACGTAGGGGGCAGACACATCAATAGAACAGCGCGCCAGTTAGCCTGAACTATTATAACGTTAAAGCACTCGGACGCAAGCGTCCTCGTACTTTAACTATAATAGTTCAGGGCAAAAGTGTGTTTTATTACATTATACATGGTGGTAGAGCGAAGTGTATTTCTTAAATAAAGGGTGATTTTTGGTGATGTATAGAATATCACCCTCGGCAAGCCTCTGCTATTTGTAACTTTATCAACTCGTGTTAATATAATTGATATCAGAAGACACTCGGATGCGATTCTATATACCCCTCATCTGAGTGACCGGTGGTCAATCTCCCGCACCCTTAAGAATTAATACACCGGAACCTAGGCCAGATCTAATATAACTGTGCAAGTGGGGCGGTGGGGTAGCCTCGTGGTTAAAGCGTTCGTTCGTCACGCCGAAGACCCGGGTACGATTCCCCACATGGGTACAATGTTCGAAACCCATTCCCGGTGTCCCCGGCTGTGATATTGCTGTAATATTGCTTAAAAACGGCGTAAAACTAACGTTTTTTAAAAGCAATTGGGTGGAGGGCTTATTTTCTGGTTCCGAAAACATCAACCACGCTTTAACCTCTAGGCTACTCCACCGTCCCTTCTCAAAATAGATCCAAGGGACTACATCAGCAATTACTTGAGAATTACTGTTATAATTAGGTGAAGATGTATGTTATGTATGTTATCGTGGGGAGACTGTACGCGTTGCCCGACGCTTCGCGGTTAGCTGGAGAGGTGGTACATTCATTAAGTGTGTACGTGTGTAGCACTGATAGCACTGAGGGTAAAAGCTAACGGTGTCAGTGAACGTTTAGAGACTATGGAGAGTATGTTTTGGGGTTTTTTAACCTAGCAAGACACTTTTAACGTTAGTAATTCACTGGAGGCATTTTTGGGGTGTTTTGTAGTTTTGTGTATGTTTTGTTGTTTTTTTGTATTTTCGGGGTCGTGCTATTTTGTTTATTTTTAGTAATGCTTTTGTTTTTATGGGGTTTCGTTTTATGAGGAATTGTTGTTTCCTGATCTCAAGAGGAAGCATCACTTGTTGGCTTGTCAAAAACAGTGGGTGACGTTCCATGACATTGTATGACGTCACGTCGCAGTAGTACATTTTTAAAAGAACAAAAATATCGAAAGAAATGAAACTAAAGGGGCCAATCAACATGACGTAGCGGAACAAATAGAGCCATCACGCGCTCACACGCACACACACACACACGCGCGCATTTTTTATATAATCTGGGGATCTGTAAAAGAGACTTAGTGCTGTACTGTGGCACCTACCATCGGCCTCTTCCAGACAACTCTGCCAAACCTCCGGGATATCCTGCCACTCTTGTACAGAGACTTCTCGTTGGGAGGGAACTCCGGGTCGACGAAGTAGGACCGAGCCCGCAGTAGGTCGTCCCGGATCTGGGCGTAGGTCTTCTTCTGGGACATCCTGCTCCCCTTCACTCACACCTGGCACAGAAATAAAAAACTCAGTCGGGTAGGTTAAAGAAGGGTAAATAATAAACTCAAGATTATGTATGATTTAAGAACGGTAACTTTGATAAAAATGAAAATCGCCACCATCATTACAATTAGTCTGTCATACAGACCCTGAAGCAAATATATCCAAGAAAGCCCAAGCAAGTCTAGAAAATGTGGCAAGTCTACATTTCCACAGCTTCAGGAAATGTTCTGAAAACGAAGAAGGTCTCCGGGCTCCTTTTCATTATATTTTATTTTTTTACTATGAGCTTCTTTCTGTAAAATATGTTCATTTCAGAGACTAGTGGTTAGTCTACTTATACTCATGCCAATAATGGTTGTCACCCCCTTCAATTTTTTTTATTGGAGGTGGGGTGTGGGTGTGGGGTGTGTGGGGGGTTGCGGTGGGGAGGGGTGTGACAACCATTATTGGCATGAGTATAGATCACATTTTATAATTATTAATTGTATTTATTCATATATTTGTATCTTTGTTCTTTTGTTTCCACTTGGGGAGTATCCGATCCTCTAACAACTGTATTTTAGCTACAGAGAGTGCACAACAAACACACAGCACACACAAACCAGTGGTCAATAGAATGAGCGTCGATCGATATCCGGGTACGGTGTCAAACTGTGGAAAACAGGTCACGGATTCAGTTGCATATATTTAGACTGCCACCCCCTCCTCATTCCCACCCCGATCCCAGTGAACGCACCATGGTGGTAAGCATAAAACTCATCGTGCTATCGCCGCTGATAGCTGCATAATTGCTGATGAGGCGGCACGCTATATTCACTCACTCACTCAAACATGTCCATCGTGTTCTTCGAGACAATTCCCACACAATATAGCTCCGGGCACCAGCTGACAGAAACGCCTCTGTCCATGCTCATATAAAGATCCTTGTTTCAAAATGCGACTCCCTGCGATTCCCAGGCATCGTAACTGAGAATAACTCTTATCGCAGGAATGCAGAAGGATAAAGCAGATTAAAGTTATGTATTATCGTGACAGAAACAGTAAAGTCTTTGTGCTCATTATCTTCATTTGGCACAGCGAGAAAACACAATTCCAGCAAGACATTCACACTGAGACGGTATGTGCCAAGAGACTAAAGTGTGAAGGAACAGTTGACATACACTACTGTATTGGGTTGGTTGTTGTTTTACGCCGCACTCAGCAATATTCCAGCTATACGGCCGCGGTCTGTAAATAATCGAGTCTGGAACAGGCAATCCAGTGATCAATAGCATGAGCACTGAGCTACATCATTGGGATACGATGACATGTGTCAACTAAGTCGGTGAGCCTGGCCACCCGATCCCGTTAGTCGCCTCTTACTACCCGTGAAGATCCGGGGTAGAACAGGTCTTCAGCAACCCACGCTTGCCACAAAAGGCGACTATGCTTGTCGTGCTCCACTTGTCTGTGTGTATTTTCATTTTAAAAACATCGATTACATGTGATGAGCATGCATACGTCCCGCCGACATATTTACGCTGGCGCTGTGTATACCTAGCCAGGTCGTGTTCATTTATATCTGAGTGTTTGATCTGTCTGCCACCTCCACTGCGAGGGTGTATCTGTATGGAGGCGTGTATTATCACTGCTATTCACGGCGTATGTAAATATTACGTTTACTCCACAGGAAATTAAAACATAGAAGGTTAAGTCATGATGTCTTGAGACAGACTTTAGTATATTTCAGAAAAATCTCTGCTCTCGCGTGTTTTACATTCGTTTTATATATACGTACTGTGAAACCTCTTCGGGTGTGACTCAGTGACACTCGTTAATCTGGAAACCCTGCATTACGGACGACGACTGATACGAACAAAGATACATGTACAAGGCGTTGCTGAAAAACACTCGTTAATCTGGAACCCCTGCATTACGGACGATAGCTGATACGAACATAGGTATATGTACAAGGCGTTGTTCAAAAACACTCGTTAATCTGGAAACCCTGCTTTACGGACGATGGCTGGTACGAACATAGAGACATGCACAAGGCGTTTCTCAATAACACCCGTTTATCAGGAAACCGTGCATTACGGACGATAGCTGATACGAACATACAGACATTTGCAAAGCATTGCTCAATAACACTCGTTAGTCTGGAAACCCTGCATTACGGACGGTGACTAATACTAACCTGTAGATAATACCAGGTGTCTTCTATTGAACAAAGCCATGATATTGCTATAGCACGAGTGCCCGATATCTACTATTGAACAATGGTATGCACTACTGAACAAGGCCATAATTTGAACGCGCCATGTTATGTGATAACTGTTACAATTGGATTACACTCTCTTAGTAAAGTAGGGGAGACCGAGGTCAATTGTAAGACGGGGCAATTGTAACAAGGGCGATTACTCTAAAAGTTCTCGCTCAAGCATAATGTAGGTGAGTAGAGTTATTTCCCTTTGCTTTCCTGCGGTACACATCCGGGCGTTTTTCAACTGCTTGCTCATGACGAGATACAGTAGACGAAAAATCCTTTTTTACATAAGAAAGTAATTTTTTCACAAAACGTAATAAAACGTTCTTAATACAGTAAATGTTGCTTGGTATGGAATTAACTTTTCAAGTGTAAAATTGAGGTATAACGACTTATTTTGAAGTAGAAATATTTGAGAAGCCCAACGTTGTTAACATGTGACGTGGCATGAAACATGGCTACTACTATCGGGGGCAATTGTAACACTGGGTTACAACTGCCGACATGAAAATTTCCCTTATGTTATGATAATGAAGCAAATTATGATGTCGGTTTTATGTTAGTTCTTTACTAGTTTCATCATAGTAGAACATTTTCAGTCTTATGTTGATAGTATCAGCCCTCGGGTGAAAGTTTTTGGTGTTAGTCTTTGTATTATATTTTGTGCATACGAAAACAAGAACAAAGAACCTTCTTTGTTACAATTGCCCCATCCACCTGTTACAATTTCCCCGTGCTCGGGGTCAATTGTAACACTTGCAGTCATTGCATTTGATACGTAATAACTTTGTAACGACATGATCGTGAACTTTAAATGACACTGAGGTTTAAAGCCAAGATGTCAATGTATTAGTTAGTACCGATAAACTTTGTGAGCGGTCGACTAATGTCGAATTACAAGAACTTAAGCAAAAAGTGTTACAATTGACCCCGGTCTCCCCTACACTTTCAAGTACTTTTTTGGGTTGAGTCCCATTCTGATTTCGAGCCCACACACTGAATGAGGCACCTCATCGCCAGTGCACAAAGTCAGCGATCAAACCCACTGAACCAACAAGGCTGTCACAAAAAAGTCCGGCTACTTGTAGTCGATATATACTTTGTGTATCCCTCTGACATGCCCATATACATCGTCCATGTTCAGTATTATCGGAATAATGATAGTGGTATAAATAGATTGACAGCTGTCACTCACAGACTGATATTTACATTGCGCATGTTCATGCATGAACTCTTGAGGGCAGTCGGGGTCTTAACGAGATCTCGCCACACGACGCGAGATTACAATTTCACACTGTCGGACCACTCTCTCTCCTTGGGATGCTCTGAACAGAAGCATAAATAAGTTTGTCTGTTAAACATTTTATTTTTAATTTAAAACTTCGCGAATCAGAGTTAGATAGGTTTAACGTAATGTTAATGCATCTGTGTATACACACAGTTATCTTCGGCCTCCGCCGAAAGCTTCATAAAAGGGTTATTACTTGTCTACAAATACAGATGTCGAGTTTCAGTATCGGTAGGTTATCAGCAAAACGATGACATTAGATACGTTCACATAAGTATTCCGCTATATTAAAACAGACACCGCGGGTTCAAATGTAACTAGCGTCGGTATGCATTACTGTCCCAGCTGACTCTCAGACAGACGGGGCGGTGGGGTAGCCTAGTGGTAAAGGGTTCATTCGTCACGCCGAAGACCCGGGTTCGATTCCCCACATGGGTACAATGTGTGAAGCCCATTTCTGGTGACCCTGCCGTGATGTTGCTGGAATATTGCGGCGTAAAACTAAACTCACTCAGACAGACGGAACATCGGGCAGAGATTTAAAGCAACGAATCCTTTACTAAAGCTAATTTAGTTTTGCATGTTCCCTCGGGAGTTGAGAATGGCATTTTTCAGAGCACATTGGTCCGATGACATGGGTATAAATAATATAAATATTATTGTTGTTGTTTTGTTTTCACCGCCGTTGTTGATATAAATATTACTATTTCATGGAATGTTCCTGTTCAACGTGATTATATGTGAGTTTAGTGTTTGAGTGAGTTTGAGTGAGTGAGTGAGTTAGTGTTACGCCGCCTTTAGCAATATTCCAGCAATATCACGGCGGGGGGACACCAGAAATGGGCTTAACACGTTGTACCCATGTGGGAATCGAACCCGGATCTTCAGCGTGACGACTGACTGACTGAGTTTGGTTTTACGCCGCTTTTAGCAATATTCCAGTAGCATCACGGCGGGGGGACACCAGAAATGGGCTTCACACATTGTGCCCATGTGGGGATTCGAACCCGGTCTTCGGCGTGACGAGCGAACGCTTTAACCACTAGGCTACCCCACCGCCCCTTCAGCGTGACGAGCCAACGCTTTAACCTCCCGGCTACCCAACCGTCCCCATATAAATGTAGACAGGTAGCTATCGATATCCTTAACAAAACACGGGTAGTATATATTTATCCAGGTGTTATTGTCAGTAGTAGAGAGTAAAGTTCCGACGCATTACGCCGACTTTATAAAGTCAGTCACTTTTCATAACATCGGATCTCTCTTGAAATGAGATACACTTCAGTTGAGAAGGAATCAAAACAAACCGTGTTATAACGGGGAGAGGGGTGCACGCTCCAGTACAAATGAACCTCGTCTCAGGCATTATGTCAACGCACAACCATCTGGTGCAACTCACGTGGAGTGTTCATTTCACATGGACATGTCACCGCCTTCTTTTAGCAATCTACAACAGCACATTTATAATCAACAAAACCGTGGTCTTGTTTGAATAATTTATCTGTCAGTACCGGTACAATATACAGCTTATACCGGTTATATTTTCTTGTTTGATCAGCCTACAGATTGTATATTTACCTGGGTAAAGTTGACTTGAAGATCACAGGTGAACACACGTTATATCCGAATGACTGTAATGTACATGAATCAGATGCTTGTCAATATCCCACTGACTCAGCACGTGCTTATTGTGCTGTAATTACCATCCCCGGAATAAAGCCTATATCAACACCACGGGTATAACAGTTGTCGATTTCAATGTCAATTGCACATCAAGCACGAGGCGAGCGAGGATTCCCGATCGCTGGACAGTTCCGTGTGCGAGTTGGCCTTGTTTATTCCAGCTTGCGGGCGTGTGTAATAATACCATGTCATGAAACACGAATGGTATGCCACCTCGGTGTATAAATCGATACTCGACAGTCACTGACAACGTAAACCGGCCCTCACCGACTGAGGTGGATTATAACTATGATATCACTCGTCTTGTGTCTCCTGCCTTCCACGATGTACAGCCCAGCCGCTACGCGTGGATTAATCCCCAAGTCCGCCTTTATTCTTACAAGACATTGCAACGTTCCGCAAGGGCAGCCTCACAACAAGGAAATCAAATCAAACGTTTGTTTACCTGACCTCAATCAAATGTCAAGTGGAATGTGTTACTAACATCCGATTAACACGCTAAGTGCAATGTGTTGCACCTGAAGAAAAGAACAGGTTTTTCCACAGATTAAATTATCGTTTCGTCCGTAACCCAGGAATTATTTTTGTAAGCAACCTTCGCCCAAGGCCACGAAATGCCGCGGTATATGTGGGTACATTGTATGTTGAATACCTGCGTTTCCCGGTAAAGCTGTCACAGGATTGTCGGTGTGTGCAGATCGAGCTTGACCTGACCCAGATAGCGGCTTTCACCTGCTTCCTTTGGATGTCACACCTGAATGCTCGGCTTATTCCCAGGGATCTAATCGAACACACCCATGCGTACACACAACCATTCCGCTGAAACCAGTGCGTCAAATCGAACACGCCACGTCGAGGGTAATTGGCTCAGCCGTTGTTGCCGGTATGAATGAATCTCGTGCCTTTGAAAGCTGTTGTTTGTTGATACGCGAAATGTTCATCGTGATGTAAAGGAGTTCTTCAAAAAGTGGGAATGAGCATGTATTGAGCAAAATATCGTCATAAAGAGTAACACTGTGCAGGTGCAAAACAGTGTGTATGGTATCGACCCCTTTCGGCTGACATATTGATTTTGAAATTATCAGGTTAAATGGATAAATATAAATTATTGAGTTCAGTTAGTATAATATAAGTCTTTCGGCCTGCTGTTTAAAGTAATATCCACGAAAAAGCCACAAAAAATAAATTCCCGATGTGACAGATTGAGAGTAAACATTCCTGTGGTCATCCTGGCGTAAGACCTATACCTGTCTACCAACGCCAGGGTGTGTGGTCAAAAGGTCACGTGGTACAAATAATCGGTTGGACTTTTATGAGTGAGTGAGTATGGTTTACGCCTCATTTATCAATATTCCAGCAATATCACGGCGGGGACACCAGATATATGCTTCACGCATTGTATCCTATAGGAAATCGAACCGGGTTGTTGGCCAGACGAGCAAACGCTTCAACCACATGGCTACCCCTACATGCAGAATACTCTTATATACTCATAACCAAACGAGGAATAAAAATGAAAAACCCCATTTCCTCCCTTACATGAAAACCCTGAACACCATTCAGTAAAATGTACAATCAGTAGCAACTGTTTACTCTGTCTGAAAATCATTACCGTGTGTTTTTCAGACAGGCATGTGTGTTTTTAAACAATAATTTCTTATTTCCACTTTGTTAAAGTTTCCTTCACATTTACGGTTTTATATGACGTTTGACAAGACGCTTATCAAATTCAGGTGTGTATGTAGTAGTTACGGTGCGTGGGTTGTCTGGGTATTTATTAGGGCTGTGCAATATAACCGGTTTACCGGTATTTACCGGTTCAGACATGAAAACGATACGTATTGCGATACGCTGATCGAAAACCGGTATTTTGACTTGCATTCGGGAAACGTCGTAACACTCGGAAATCTTCGGATATTTCCTTGTTTCATTTGTGCCAAATATTATTCACATTTTTATTTTATCATGATTAAAATTTGTTATTAAAGCTTAATCAAGCATAGTGATTTTGTTGTGTTTTTGCTCTATAAATCAAGCAGTAACTCGATTATAAGTATTTTTTTGTTTAAAAATACTTCATGCAATATATTGCAATGCATATTGCAATACATGCTTTCGCATCGCAATATATCGCAATATGAATATTCTCTGCAATACCCACCCCTAGTATTTATGGAAGGATTTACATATTTATCTTATGTGTACTAAGTAACCTTCTTTTTCCCGGCTATACTTAAACAGTTAAGATATTAACTATATATTAACCACTCATATACCCCTTCTGTAATCCGTAACCGTCTGAGTGTAATGCCTGATTACATACCTAACTATCACCATCACCTGCACCAATAGCCCCGTGACGACTATCGTGTATGAGTGAGTGTTTCTCGCTCCTTTGGGGTAGGTTTGGTAGGTTATAGCGGTTAAAGCGTCCGCTAGTCACACCGAAGACCCGGGTTAGATTCCCCACTTGGGTACAATATATGAAGCCAGTTTCTGGTGTTCCCGTTGTGATATTGCTGGAATATTGTAAAAAAGTGGTGTAAAACCATACTCACTCACTCACTCAATTATCGCCCTTTTAATCACATGATCAGTCACATGACATTGTGTAAGTTACATCAAGGTGTGCCAGCTTACACTGGAATAATGGATGTACTGAAGCGTTCGAAATAATCAGGGACAATCAGGGATTCGAACACACGTTCAGGGGGATACTGCCCCGACTGAAGAAAGCCAGTCACCACATCGAGTTCAGATCACGTTACACATGTCAAAACGTGAAGTCTTTTTTTTTTAATGCTAACATTTATTTTTCACATATTTTATCAACATGCAAGACCCCTCTCACAAAACCGGTTTTTACATGGGTTTTAATTCCAAACGTATTTCAAAAAACAAAAAAACATCTTTGGAGATGTAACTGATGCGAATCCTTGCCCCGGAACAAACTGAAAGCAGACTCTCGATGTGTGGTATATCGATACACTTAAGTCTACACCAGTACGGTGGGGATTCTATCCTCGAAATAATCCGTTTCTTTATATCAAATCGAGTACATGGAAATCCCTAAAGTGTGTTTACTATCGGCGAAAGCAGCGTGTAAATTAATTATCAAGTCGGAAGTATTTCGGAATAGACAGCACAACAGTCGAGACAGTCAGCACTTTTGTAGGATATCCAACACCAGTGTGTGTGTGAGAGAGAGAGAGGAAGAGAGAGAGAAAGGGAGAGAGAGAGAGAACGCGGGAGAGAGAGAGAAAGGAAGAGGGACTAAGAGGGAGGGAGAGAGGGAGAGAGAGAGGGACTAAGAGAGGGATAGATAGAGAGGGGAAGGGAGAGAGATATAAATGGACAGAGAGAGAGAGGGAGGAATAGTGAGAGAGAGGGACTAAGAGAGAGAGGGCGAGAGGGGAGGGAGAGAGAGGGAGGGACTGAGAGCGAGTGAGAGCGGGACTGAAAGAGAGGGGGGATAGAGAGAGGGACAGAGAGAGAGGGAGGGAGAGAGATATATATGGACTGAGAGAGAGAGAGGGAGATAGGGGGACTAAGAGAGAGGGAGGAATAGTGACAGGGACTAAAAGAGAGGGCGAGAGGGGAGGGAGAGAGAGTGGGAGGGAGAGAGAGGGACTGAAAGAGAGGGAGGGAGAGAGAGGGACTGAGAGAGAGAGAGGGAGGGAGAGAGTGGGAGGGAGACAGGGACTGAGAGAGAGGGAGGGAGGGAGAGAGAGGGACTGAAAGAGAGGGAGAGAGGGGGTGACACAGAGAGAGAGAAAGAGGGGGCGGGGAAGAAACCATTTTGGGTGTTCCCCGCCATGGTGTTAATTCCCCGCCGAATATTCATAATCATCAACCTGTCACTTTGATGTCAGTACCAACTCTGCAAACGGCGTTATAAAGCATTCATACATTATTTACAGAATTTTAGCTCGGATTAGTTTTAGGAGGATCCTGGGTTACCTCGTCAAGAAACGCTGCACTCCACATGCGCCCTCATGAAACAAGACAGTTTAACCAGAAAAAATCACAACCTCTAAACCTGATGTAAATTTAACCAGTGAACAAGTGAGTGGGTATAGTGAATGGGTATAATGAATGAGCGTGTGGGTGGGTGAATAGGTAGAGTGAATGGGTGTGTGGGTGGGTGAATGGCCAGGGTGAGGGCGGGATATGTTGGTGGGAGACTCGGTTGTTGGTTGAGGGAATGAATATTTCTTGACACCACAGCATACATTCCAACAATAACTGTTTGACAACCAGATAAACACGTGACAGTTTAACAATCAACAACCAGCCACTGTTTATGCGGGCAGTGTCTACTCAGTGCACCTGTACGCTTCACGAGGTCACGTGGTCTCCCCAGACAATCAGTTCCTTAACGATGACAAGTAATCGATACAACGAAACAAATTCCGGATGTCTACTGTTCAACCAGCACCACCGGCATTCATTAATATCGGCAGTATCAGTCTACACAAGACATTTCTTCTGGGGCTAAGATATATTGCAAGTGGTCGGTGCCATACGAAGGCAGACGGACTGTAGTGCACAAATACACCTATTTCTGCTGTAGTGACTAGCGATGGCGATATGCAGTTATAACATAAATGGGATATGAAAATGTTAGTCTCAATTTTGTGTTATGTTCTTTTCAGGATGACAAATATTTTTCACATATTTCACCTCACGCATATGACCATGCACGTGTGTTTTCAGTGGGGTTGAAAAAGAAGTTCAGTTTTTCCGCTTAATACCCGTGGAGATCCGGATTTGAATTGGTCTTCAGCAACCCATGCTTGTCGTAAGAGGCGACTAACGGGATCGGGTGGTCAGGCTCGCTGACTTGGTTGACACATGTCATCGTACCCAAACTGCGTAGATCGGTGCTCATGCTGTTGACCTCCGGATTGTCTTGTCTAGACCTGATTGTTTTGTTGTTTTCAATCATAATGATATAGCTTGTTTATGTGTTTGTTGTTTAACGCCGCACTCAGCAATATTCCAGGTATGGCGCCGGTCTGTAAATAATAGAGTTTGGACCAGACAACCCAGTGATCAATACCCATGAGCGTTTCGCGGCAAACAAGTGATTGATAACACAACCACAAGAACGTCTCTCTGTTAAAATGCGATATTAACCACTACAACTATACTATTCCAAAAAGAAACGCATAACCCAGAAATCTGTTGCGAAAATGTTTTATTTTCAAACATGTATAACTCGTCCACAAACAGACTTTAGTACATGAATTTTTACATCAGTTTAGAAGAAGGTACTGTCTATACAACCCAGTGGATACTTTTAGATAACGGAGACGTTGAGCGCGATGGTGACCACGTAGCATTGTCCCGACGTCGGGTCTCCTGGCCCTGTCCAATCTCTCTCAACCTGTTCCGTACAGTTTGACCGGAAATCCTCCGAAGTCCAGGCACCCTGGCTGCTGTGCTCTCACCCGTGGCAGTACGATCATGCAAATGGAGTACCCGGATGTACTCGAGGTGTGCCTGTACGGGGAGAGTCATTTGTTATCCCTGTTTGGTTGTAAATAGCTGCAAGCAGTGATATCGTGCTCAGACTAACATTCAGACGCCTGGGAGCAGAAAATTGGTAATCCCCAGCGTGCATTCTTTCAATGGCGATATTCCGTGTCGCAGCGTCAAGACGTGGCGTAGTGATTTGACCTTGAAACTCCTTCAAAACGAATGGCGATTTCCGAAAGTAATCTGGATTGTTTTAGCCAGACAGTGCATGCTCTTTGCTGCACAATGTCAACTGGAAGGTGATTTCTGTTGCGTTGTGGCGATGCCTTTTTAATTCTTGTAAGAAATCTCATCCAAATCAACATTTACAGG